GACATGGTGGCGGGAGGGGGTATTAGGGCCCCATGGGGTGGTTGTCATGGGACACACCCAGGCGCGGGGCATCTCCTCTGGCCGTCTCAGCCTGACGGGGAGTCTGTTTGGTGTCTCCCCTGTCCCAGGACCCCATGGTGACCAGGGCCCTCCAGTGCCTCCGGGAGTCGAGCACCAGCGACCTCTACACGCAGGCGCTGCTGGCCTACGCCTTCGGGCTGGCGGGGAGCACTGAGCTGCGGGGCGCCCTTCTTCAGAGCCTGGCCCAGCACAGCGTCAGCGCTGGTACCAGCAGCACCTCGTTCTAGTGCTCGCCTCGCTGTCCGCCTCTAGACACAGGGCAGGGCCAGCTGCCCCCCACAGCCCTGCCCACCCAGGTCCCCCTGCCCCGGGACCTCCTCAGCCTGGCAGGGGAGATGGGTCTCTGTGGCCCAGTCAGTCCATGATCTCTGCTGAGGCTGCCAGCGAGGGGCCGACGTGCTGGGCTCTGTCATGGGGACACTTCTCCCCTCAGAGCTGGAGTGAGATCATCCCACCACTTCCCAGGGCCCAGCGCATGGAGCAAAACGGGACAAGGCTGGGTCGCTGCCAGCCTGGGGGGATCGGAGCTGGGAACCTAGAGGGGAAAGCCCCATGTCCCAACACAGCCCTCTAAAGCACCCGGGGCCAGGAGCGTGACGGGGTCCAGTGGGCTCAGAGCCCGTGGGGCAGGGCCTTGCGTAGGCAGCTCCCAAAGGGAACGGGTCGTAACCGAGCCCTAGGGAGATGCTGCAGGATCCCAGCCCCCATCCTGTGTTGGGGACATCCCAGCTGGGGAGTGTCTGCCCAAGTCTTCTCGGCTAATACTGGGAGGGGAACAGGCAGCACTGGGCCGGGTGTGAGCGATGCAGTCTGGGGCCAGCTCCCCATAGGCAGGAGGTCCCATGGGAGGCCCTAGGCCCACTGGCAGCGCGGCTGGGGACGCAGGAGGTGGCGCTGCCCCACGTCGGTGCTGAGCTGAAGGAGCCCTCGGCATGAGGCCAGGGGGCGCTGGGAGTCCCAGGTTGGGTCCCTCACACTCGTCATGAACACGCCCCAGTGATCTCTGTGCGTCTCCTCGGCGCCGTTCGAGCTCAGACTGAGCCGTGCCTGGAGCTGAGGCCTGGCGCGCTCGGTTCCTGCCAGGCCCTGGGGAGACGTCCCGCACAGAAAGGAGCCACCTGCGTGGTCTGGGCGGCTCTGTCGTATCTCGGCTCAGGTGAAAAGTCCCTTCTCTCCAAGCCCTGGCGCAGCAGCTGCAGCTGGTCTGTGCCCGCAAGTTGTGTGAGTCGCCTCCTGCCCTGCCCCGAGGCGGGTAAGAAGTGCTGGGAGCAGCACGTGGCTCCTGCCCCAGCAAGGGGAGAGGTGGGGGCTCTGCTGCTTGGGACACCAAGGGGCCATCAGGTACTGGGGTGAAACAGCCCTCGGGTAACAGGACCCATCTCTGACATTACAGGGCCCATCTGCGAGGTCCCTAAGACCCTGTGGGGTCTGGTGATAACCCAGTGTCAGCCCCAGCGCTGCCCTTCAGCTGGGTCCAGCTCCCAGCCCCAGGGGGCCCCGCACTCCCTCAGGGTCTCTCTGCACCCCCCCCCGCCCCCGCCCCAGCAGTGGCCGCACTAGGCATAAGCAGACTAAGCAATTGCTTTAGGCCCAAGCAACTCACAGCCCTGCCAGCTCTGGGAGCGGGGGTTGGGTGGGGAGGAGGCCTCTGGGTGCGCCTCTGTCTGCACCATGCGCCCCATCAGGGCTTCTCATCGGCTCCATTTGAGCTCAGGCTGAGCTGTGCTCCTAGGGGTGCACTGAGGGCCCGTTGGACACTGGACTGAAAAGACCCCAGGGATCACTCAGGAGGGGGCTGTTAACCCGCCATCAGCTCTGCCCCGTGCCCTTTGCCTGGGTCGGGCTCTGAGCAGGGGGCCAAACTAACACAGGGGATCTCTGCCCCCCTCTAGTGGCTGCACCCCAGAAGCTTAGGGGTTGCCAGGAGCCAGTGACCCACCTGGGCTTGGCTTCTAGCTCAGGCAGCAGAGGCTCAGGGGTTTTGAGTCAGAGATCCAGGGTTCAGTCCCTGCTGACGACCCACCCAGGGGTGTCGTGTTACACTTGTGTAGCCCTCCTGTGCGCTGTGAATCAGCTGCCGTGTCCTGCTCCAGAGGTGGCTGTATTCAGTGGGGAGCAAGAGTCCCGCTGGCCTGGGAAGCCCCTGGGGCCCCTTTGGAAAGCAAACAGGTGACCCACTGTGTTGTAACTGCAGCCGTGGGGCTGCCCTTCCCTCGGCCCCTCTCCTAGGGGGACAGCTGCACTGGCAGAGGAAGGTGAAGGCCCTGCCCAGCCCCTATGGGAACCAGGCCCCGTCAGCAGAGGTGGAGATGACGGCTTACGTGCTCCTGGCCTATCTCTCCCTGCCCAATGTGTCTGCTGCCGACATGGCAACCGCCGCCCAGATTGTCCGCTGGCTCAGCAAGCAGCAGAACCCCTATGGGGGCTTCGCCTCGACGCAGGTAACACCCCTGCCCTCGGGGCAAACCAGCGCTGGGGTCCTGGTGGAGCAAGGGTCCCCCCGGGGGCAGCATCTCCTCAGCTGAGCTGGGGCCCTTCCTGGGAGAGGGAGTCCTGGGTGCAGAGTCCCCTGCCCTCAGGGGCTGGGAGCCGGGGTGCCAGTGTCAGCGCCCCGGCGGGTCCCGATCCTGCTGCAGTGAGTCTGAGCCGGGCTCCTCTCCCCAGAGCGTGACAGCAGCTCGGTGACTCTCCTCCCCAGGACACGGTGGTCGCCCTGCAGGCCCTGGCCAAATACGCGGCCCTGACGTACAGCACGAGCGGGGCTGTGTCGGTGATGGTGAGCTCCCAGGCCGGGGCCCGGCAGCAATTCCACGTGGAGAACGCCAACCGGCTGGTACTGCAGCAAGCGGCCCTGCAGGAGATCCCCGGGCAGTACACGGTGCGGGCCAGCGGAAAGGGCTGTGTCTTTGTGCAGGTGAGTGCAGGAGCCCCTGGGGACCAGCCGGCCCAGCGGTGACTAGCTGTGCCCTTGCCCTGCCCCACGGCACCTGGCTCTGGGCCCAGGCTCTGATCTGCTGTGGTGGAGGCAGCAGGCTCTGCCCCAACCCTCTTGCTTGTCTCCCAGCTGACTCTGCGCTACAACGTGCCGCCCCCAAAGAGCGCCGCGACCTTTGACCTGCGGGTGGAGACGGAGCCGAAGGAGTGCACCGAGAGCGCCAGATCCCACTTCAGCCTTGTCCTGCACGCTCGGTACGAGCCCCAGCCCCCCACCCCCACTGAGTCCGAGCGCCCGGGGGCAGGGGCAGGCCCCAGGCAGCGGGGAAATGGCCGGGGCAGAGTCGCCCCACTGGAGGGCCAGGGCGGGGCAGGAATCGATCGCCGGGGGAGCCATCCCCCCACAGAGCTCAGGGCAGAGGCAGGGGCCCCTTGGAATGCCCCAGGGACAAAAGGGCTGGTCCCGGGGCTGATCTAATGGACAGTCGGCTCCCAAGGAGCTCCTGGCATCGGGTCCCCTTGCCTGGGGAGCTCAGGGCTGGCCGGGGGCTAGCAGGGCTCACAGCCCAGAGCAGGCAGAGGGCATTAGAGACCCCTGCAGGGCCAAGAAGACGAGAGGCCTCCCCTCCCCCTCCATCCCCCTGGGGTCTGTATCCAGGGAAAATCCTGACCTCAGCGCACGGCTCCTGTTGCAGGTACAGCGGGGAGCGCCCAGCCACCAACATGGCCATCATCGAGGCCAAGCTGCCGTCAGGATACATCCCAGTCAAGAGCTCCCTGCAGCAGGTGAGCTTCCCAGGGAGGAGAACAGGCCGGGCCAGTCACACAGCATGAAACCAGGGGCTGATCCATGGGGGAGAGCCCAGACCCCCCAGGAGAGCACAGATTGCAGCTCTGACCCCCAGGGGGAGCTCCCCCTGCAGAGGGGCACTGTGCAGCCCTGGGTCTCCCATCCAGGCACTGAGCAGGTCCTGACCCTGCTTAGCTCCCACTACGACACAACGCCCATGTCTAGACTCCCACCTGTCCCCTAGCACACACCTAGTGCTCAGCTGTGACTGACATGGGGGATGGCAGCCAGGCCCCTCGGCCACAGAGGCGTTTGGTGCCCCATGTCCCAGCCTCCAGCAGAGCAGTAACTCCGGCCCCAGCCCCTCTGTTCCTGGCTCAGCTGTTTCCTCCCTCTGCTCCTAGCTGGAGAAGCAGCCTTTGGTGAAGAGGCTGGAGGTGCAGAACGACCAGGTGACGCTCTATCTGGACCAGGTGAGTGTGTGCGGCTCGGGGCTCCGGGGGCCTGGTGTGAACAGGGAGGGCGTGTCCCCATTACAGTTGCCCTCATGGGCTCTGTGTCACATGCACGGTGTGGAGTGACTGAAATCTCCCCTGGTTCCAAGAGACCCGTTTCCATAAAGGAAGAGGAGATTGGACCAGACTCAGCCAAACCCCAGCGAGGGTCGTGAACGGAGCGACGGGGAGCTCAGGGTTGGGGGGCTGGAGCTGGGCCCTGAGTGTGATGAAAGGGGGTCACATTTTGAAGGGGGTGGGACAGGGATTCGGGGGGAGCATTTT